ATATATATATATGCATACATATTATATACACATATATACATATATACGAGTGTATATGCATATATAAAACACGTGTTTCTCGTATTCATACGTTGTACGTGATACTAGGCGCACAGTGCGAGAAAAAAAGGAAAATAATAACATCGGTGCGGAAAGGAGGTTATACGTCGTATACGCGAGTGTGCTTCTTCGATCCGGCGTGTCTCGTTATATAGCTGCATCACTTTCCTACAGATTTCCACGCCAATGAAGTGTTGCTTGGCCAATTAAACGAAACTCTCAGCATTAAACCAATCTAACAGAATAACTTCGAATATGTCGCTGCTCAGCGTCACGGGTAAGTTTTTTTTCTTCTTTTTATAAATTTTTTTATACTTTTATTGTTTTCTCACATATTTCAAGACGCCGGCACAAGATGATGAATGTTGTTTAGAAAATATTTCGCTTCATTATGTTTCGCGACATTTTTACTTTAATATTCAAATCCATTTTTATCTCTATTTTCTTAAAAATTATATATATATATTTTTATGCTATTGATAGTAAATTTTATTTTTTACATTGTTATTTTGTTTAAATCTCTATATTAGAAAAATTACTCTAATATTTTAAATGGATTATTTTAGCATAGAATATTTTATTTGAAATTCTCTGGATTAACGTGAAATAGAGCTATAGAGGTAACGATAAAGTAAGGTTAGAGCAAGCTCGTAAGGATGGCTGCCTCGAAACGACCCGAATATTTTACTGCGCCTTCATCAGATTTAAAACTTTCTTTTTTTTTTGTTTACGAATAAACTGCTTGAGGAGACCGAATTCTTTTAAGGTAAACTTGTAGAAACGGCGAAACATTTGAGGTAGGAAGTAGTTATGGAGAAAAATTTTTCCAAGATGTGTAACAAGAATATAAATAAAATGGAAAATAAAAATATATAATTAATGAATATTGATATCGTTCACTATACCAGTAATTAAAGACATTTCCTAACATATTTTATATTTCAAGTGTAGCACAAAACAATATTTTAAGCGTATTTCTTTCTTATTTCCATTTATATTTTTATTCCTTAAATCATGTGTAATGAACAAATACGCTTAAATTTTTCCTTTTTTTTTTTGCTTTTTTTTTTTGAGTTGGAGTATAAATGCAGGATATTTATTTTTATCGAGTATACAGAAAAATAAGGGAAATTATTGTTCCAAAGATTTTAAATTTACTCTTGAATTATTATAAGTGCAGAAAATATAAAAGAAAAACATTAAGAAAGGAAAAGAAATGAGTATTTGTCATTTAATGTATATTCTCAATTAAATCTTTTTATTCATTTTATATTATATCTTTCGTGTATAAAATTTATATAATGATATATACGATATAAATAATATAAATGATCAAAATTAAAAGTTATGTTTTAAAAAACAAGTTTTCCTACAGAATAAAAAAAATTTTTTTATTATAATTAAATTTTTTTTTATTAAAATTATATTTAAATTTTTTAAAACTAAAATTGGAAGATGAGAATAAAAAGAATAAAGAATAAGATTCAAAATCGATCTGATTTCATTGCTATCGGACCAATCTTTTTTTCATTTTTATAGATATATAAATAACGAAATTGAATAACGACATGCTTCTTAAACGATATTCAATTAATCTTCAACAAAGCTAAATTTCTTTTCATTTTATCTTCTTCCATTAAAAAATTTCTCGCTTTTTTAGATTCATTATTTTTACGTTGAAATTTTTATTTTGAAACGGCTAAATTTAAAACGGTTTATATCCTTATTTCGAAGAATTTCAAGAAATTTCAATTCTTAATATATCAGTATAAGTGCATTAACTGGCAGCCAAGGATTTTTCTCTCATTCTGACTTTTGTATTCGGCTCCACATAGTCCGGCTATTGAACGATTTAAAGGAATAGTATAACCAAGAGAACAGTTTCTTGAGAGGTTTATTTCTAGGTCGAGTCTCGATCACTGACCGCCACTGATACCTTCCAATGTATCTTCCCAAACACATCTACGTACATATCCACTATATCCCGTCAGATACTATCTTCTACCCTCTATATCCCTCTATTCATAATCGACTGGCTCTATACGAATTGCGATTCCGAAGCTGCGTTTCACATAGAAAAATCAATGCGTGAACGGTCACTATGGATTCCAACGATCCTTTTCCGGGAAACGAAACAAGCTAAAGACGTATTGACCAGGGAATAACGAGAAGTGATTCTCGATGCTTCTTTTATCTTTGTCCCATATCTGACCATAAATATCGGTAGGGTTCGAAGTCTTCTTCCAGGCACGTAGACGCACGTGTACAGAACCACAGCGTACGTGTGTTCAGGTTGTTCATTCGTACGGCGGTGTACAGTCGGTACATACACCGATAACAAAGCGCATGAGTGTTCGGTCTATGACTAGGGAATAGCGAGAGAGAAAGAGAGAGAGAAAAAGAGAGAAAGAGAGAGAGCGAGCGAGAGGATAAAGGGTGAAAGGGGGTGAAAGAGAAGGAAGAGAAAGAAAGAGATAGAAAGAGAGAGCATAGTGCAACGGTTGACCCCGGTGCACGGGGTCATTCCCTTCTTCAACCACCGCCATCGACCCCCACCGCCTCCGATTCTACCGCTCACCTACCGTAACCCCTACTACCGCTTCCTCCATCCCTTCTCATCCTCGTATCCTCCACCAACGCTCCACCATCACGACCACGCAACTCGACTCTCTCTCTCTCTCTCTCCTCCCCCTCTCTCTCTCTCTCTTTCTCCTCTTGCTCGCCCGGCCACCCGATGTAGCTATGAGATGCTACAGGGTGAACGTAGAGTTCTCGTGCATATGTTGGTTGACAGGGACGATCTCAGGCGAAGCTCCACCTAGATCTTCCTTTGCCTGTCAGTCCATCAGACAGGTAATAACTTACCAGATATTTGATTTATGGTAATGTTGATAGTGACGGATCCAAGCTTGTATCGAATGATCGGGATGCCATAAAGTTAATGATCGCGTCTGTTACACCATTTTGGAAATTCGCTTCATCTTGACGATTTATCGTTAGAGATCGTTGGGGATGGAGAATTTTCGCAACGAATTTTCAGAT